ATAAGATGATACCAAACACTATTTTTTTTTTTATACAAGTTATATTACAGGGATATTAAGTGCACTCAGGATTTCCTACCCACTCCGGATGTGTGGTTCCAATTCATAGTGGGTAGAGAGTGGGTAAGAAAAGTGAGTAGGAAATCTGGGCTCTATTAAGTGGTGGGGATTGGGGAGGCAGACAGTGRTTTAGTTGAACTTGATGGCTGTAGAAGAGGCTGCAGGACTAATTATAACACCCATTTCAGCCATAACCCACAGCTTATGGTTAGGGCCGTCAATGGGTCAGGTCTAGGTAGAATCAGTTTCAAATTGATTATTAATCAAGATAAAAGTAACCAATAGACCTGATTATATTGAAAATTATATTTATTATTTAAATAATAACTTAAAATTTAAGTTTTGACATTATGAATAAAAAATACTAGATTATTTATATGTTAATAAATTAACCATTTTTAATAATATTATCTTATTTATTATCTATCAAATTTATTATTTCAAATATAAAATATGATAAGAATTAAGAAATATTATGTATGCATTTGGTTCGTTTATGTTTATTGAGTAAATGCTGCCACATAGGCACCCCATCAGCAAATGCCTCATTAATTGCATCCATACGTATCAATGTTTGCAAATTTTTGTGTGCCTCTCCCATTTCAGGAAGTTTTATYGGCACTTTGCTGATGTAATGCTTAATGACGCTTATATATCATAAACACCCTCATTAATTGTTTTTCTCGATTTTCCAGCCATACAAGTACAAAACATTTACTCAATAAATATAAACAGAACTAAACACCTTCTATATATTTGATAAATTAATCAAATTATATCAAAATCAATTCGGACCAGACATGAACCGGAATTGATTTAATTATTAATTGGGACAAAATCATGAAACCCAAATCGTTATAATCAGTTTCGTCGGTTTAGATTAATCGGTATATCCAATCCATTGACAACTCTTATTCATGGTTGGAATGGGGCATTAATATTGATCCCACAGCCCGTAATACAGCCATTAAGTTCAACAAAATGTCTGTATATAGTTATATACATCTACAGCCGCACATCGCACATCGAAAGATCCGCGCTGTGACGTTATGTGAACATCATGTGACCAGCGCTCACATTGTTACGATTTACAGTTCCGAGCTGTACAGGTTCAGATGACATCAAACACTTGAGACTTCTTTAAAGCAAAATATCAGCCAGATGACAATCTCAACTATTTGAATCATCAACTGGATGCTGATGCTGAATGACTATTGAATTACCCAAAAAAATGTGGGTTTCTACAAAGATGAACCCGATAGTGACGTCATGAGTTACAATCTTGATTCCTGCAACTAGCATCTTGAAATTGTTTTAGGCTCTATTTGGTTTGCTGTAGCTCTGAAGTCAAATTATTCCGATTCCATTTAATTATTTTTATTGAATGGCATTTTCTGTCATTCTCATTCTTACTTATTTCAATTATTATTTTTATTTTTGCCTGAATCAAATAGATTTTGGAAATAGACTATTTCGGTTTTGATTCCTATTCCCATTCTAACTATAAACCAAATGAACCCTTTCGAGTTTGGACAACAGAAAACGGAGCTGAGGTAAGACACCCTAATTAAATATTTTAAGGCTACAAACGGGTATCCCTTTGCCCAAATTTTAATTTGGTCTTGATCCATGGATATGTTTGTGATTAATGGATGGAATATAGATCAAACCTTATCATCCAATATTATCTTATTCAATATATATTAAAGGAAGGTTTTTAGGCTATACCTCCCACCATTCAGATATGTGGTTTTTTCAAATTTAGACATATGTATTTTCTGAAAAATTGTTATTAAAACTCACAACCCATTATCACCGTTCAGACAAGTGACCATCTCATCTTCTAGAAAAGTTAAACATGTGGTACATTTTTAGAAATTCCTGTTAAAGACCACATCCTAAGGTTACAGCCACCCACCATGGCCTTTTCATTTTTCTGTAAAGCTAGACATGTATTTTATGAAAAGTTGTTAAAGCCCCCACAACCCACTATCACCATTTTCAATCCATTCCTAAAAAATGCAGAAAATCCAAAAGTTGTTATCCACAACCACTTCTAAGTACATTCTATCAATCTCAATTAATCATTAACTATCTATGTATCTTAACAAAAGAAACTATCAATATTCTAATAATTATTGAAAATCTATTTTTTGAAATAAATATTTATTAAAAATTTCATAGTTATTTAAAATATTAATAAATATAAATTTAACATTACTAATTTCTTGTACTTAATGCGGGGTCATTCACTAGTTAAAGAAGTAAAGAGTACAAGTGGACCTAAATCAAGTTAATTGTAAATCATTCAAACTGGGCTCATGAAAAGATTGATTTGGGTTGGTCTAAATCTAAGTTTGAGCTGTGCTAAGCCCATTATATAAGCTAGATGAACAATTGGGCCAAACTCAAATAGTATGTAGCTCAGTTTATTAAGTTTGCGGGTTTAATCGAGTTTATATATAATATTTTTATATTTAATGAGAAATATTCTTTTCTATGCTTAATATTTAATTTTTTATACGAGGTTTGGCTCAATGTAGAACTTGAACTGAGTAACATATGAGCTTTTGAAGTGAGTCAAACGTATTGAACTCGAGGCCAAATTTGTACTATACTTTTTTATTGAGTCAAACTCGAATAATCTAATATTTGGCTTGGCTTAGCCTATATCTAATATTTTCAATTACTTATTTATGATATATAATATTAAAATAAATTTTAATTCATTTTATTTATAATATATAACATTTTCATCTTTTTTTTTTAGATTTAACTATACGTTATTCATTCTAAGGGGATGTTTGGCATTGATGTAGATATCTTAAAAACACTATCATGTCAGACGCGTGTAATTAAAGTTAGAGGAATAGGCGCTGAAACTTCTGTTTAGTTGGCCAATTTTGGAGATTTTCAAGAAATTAGCCAAAAATTAATTCTTGAAATCAAGCCTTTTTTAAGGACCATCATAATTTCCTGATTTCCAATTAATTTTAATTTTTTGAGGATGACTTAACATCTGATGTGGTATTGAATAATAACTCCAATGTAAAAATAATCAGCTCCTGAGAACTAGTATCGAACAGATTCAAAATTAATTTCTCAAAAGCCAGCTTACATGGCAGAACTGATGCCAAATAACCAAAATTTGAAAAATCACTAAAATTTGAAAATCACAAGGGGGAGTTTGGAGCAGTACTTTACAAGTGTTTCAACTGGACTTGAGAGGACCGCATATCATATCCACCCGACCCGTCATCAAAGCTGTGCACTATACCAAATTTTCTATTCCTTCTGTTTGAAGATAAAAAAGAAAAAAAAAATGAAAACCAGATACCATTACTGTTAGATGTATAAACAAAAGATTAAGAAAGTCAAAATTAAACTTCACCTAGGCAAAAAAGAAATTAAAAAAAAAAAAACCATTGTTAATCTCAATAATGAACCACCAAGATTAATTATTGATTATGAAATAAAGTAGAACACAAAAGTAATCTATCTCATTAAATAAAGAGCTATATTAGCAATCATTAAAACAAGGAAAGAAATAATTAATATTTTTATTAATCGAAGTTGAAAGAATATTAGGTTACTGTGAAGGAAATAATTTAAGGATTTTAAGCTTCAGAAAATGTCCTCCGCTTATCACTAGGACCAAATAAGTAGGCATTGGCGCATTGCATACCTTATCAAATTTATTTAGAAAAAATAAATAAATAATTACTAGTTATGAAAGACATTACGACATTGATTAGAGAGGAAACTTGTTTGGTTTGGTATATGTGGAGGCGTTGCGATTCTGTTCGGTCTAATCAAATGCATTAGTAAGTCATAACTCGGGATGTTTGGTTTGGTATATGTGGAGAAGTTGCGATTCTGTTCGGTGTCCATATCAGCGTTCTGTTTATGGTTAAAGGAAAACGCAAACAAACAAAATGCATTTGATTAGACTGTATGAGGTTAGAATGGTCGTAATGTCAAATAGATGTTTCCTCCAAATGAGTTTGGCTTCAATGCTCACAGACCATGTTCATCATACTGTTCGTATAATCTTTCACAGCCCTGCATTGAAAATATCTCTATACTTTTTATGCTTTTTTTATTAAAAGATATTTTTAATATTAGGTTGTAATGATTGTGCCAATGGTGTGAGCATCGTCTTGTGAGGATTGAAACCGATTTCCCTTAAATGGCTTCGGAGCTGTTGCATTCTGGATAATGTGGCACTTATTATGTGATTGATATATCATAGATGTGATTTGGGTATTCCATGAGAAGCAAATCTGATATCTGATAGAATTTGGATTTGCACCAACCTCACAATCACAGTATGTTACAGCTAATATTTTGAATGGATGACAATATAAAATTACAGGAGATATTCTTAATGTGTGCTTGCAAATACTGTCAGGTTGCTGTGAGGAGCGCGAGGTGGATTTGCCCTTTGTAAAGCATCGGAAATATCTTCCGTGAATAAGCAATTTGGGGAGATATTCTCGATGTACGGCTCGCATTATATGAAAAAGTAAATCTTCATTTATCAAAGATATTTCCGATGCACGGCTGCGATGTAATGTAAGGTGGGAGGCGCGGTGTGTGAGAAGCAAATACATTTCCAATCGCGTACCCCACCTCACCAAGACACAAAAACACGACACCCCCAATCATAGAACGAGGTGGCGGCAGGAAGTAGAAGCTCGCTGACTCGCTGTCGGAGGTGCTTTAAAAGTACACGTGTTATTAGGTGAAGCCGATTACAAAAGCAACAATTTTGTCGTTCTACTTCTACGGTGGAATGAACTGATAGGGCGTAAAAATATAATTTCCCAAGTCCAAAAGGCAAAAGCCCATATTTTATGTGTTTGATATGGGCCCGGATCCCGATCCCACTTGGGTACATTATGAACTCGATTCTGCACAAATTTCAAACCCGAAGAGACAGAAGTGGGTCTGTGACTTTGTGGCGCGAGCAATATTTAAAGGAACGCTTTAGTGGTGGAGAGACTTGTAGAAGTAGTGGGAGGTGAGAGAGAAAGCCACTTCTTCAATTCAATTCCATTTCTTCTTTTTATTTTTCTCAGATTTTTAGGGCAAACTAACTGAATATTTCTTGATCTGTTCCAGATTATCTGGTTTGTTGAAGACTGGAATTTTGTTTTTGCATTCTTCCTGCGATAATTTGGTAAAAGAACTTTTAAGATCGACGACCTTTTCTTGGCTCTTTGTGTATGTGTGTGTTGAAATTTCTTGGAAGATGGAGTCGAACGAGAAATATATCGTGTGTGACGATTTTTTGTGCTGAAGCAGCCGAATAGAGAGAGGTACGGGACGTGGTCATGTTGGTTCTGGTTCCTCATTGCTTTTGTATTTTTCAGATTTTAATTTGGCATATAGCTGATTCCTGGAGGTTTTGGTGATTTCTTTGGCAGAAACACTGGAAGTCTGACTGCAGTCATCTGGCTTTCTTCGAGAGCTTCCGAAATGGGTTCAATTTTGTGGGAATTTCGTTAAAGGAAAGAGTGTTGCCTCCTGAGAAGGTTCGGTAGAATGATTAATTAAATCTCTCTCTTGAGGAAGAACTTTTCTGCTAGTGAGAGATCTAGTAGCTGAAAGAAAATCCAAGTTACGTAAATTCCGTGAACTTAACGTTGGAATCACAGATATTAACACCTCCTTTACCTTTTTTTCTTAAAAAATATGTGATTCTCTGTATGTGCAAACCGTGTCTTGGAGAGCTTCGAAGACATTATAACGTTTCATTATCAAGCTTTAATTTAATGGCAAACTACTTCAAGAGTGTCAAATCCACGAAGCTATCTATTGTTTCCTGTGTTTAAAATCGTGAGACACTATCCTGTGAACAAACCAATACTTTTTTTCTTGAAAGCGGGCATCTATGGGTTCTTTGTTGCTTGGTTCAAAAGGGCCACCGATAAAACGACGAGCTGGTTTGCGCAGAAAACAGGCAGGACGAAGTTCGTACAGAGGTAGTTAGGGAATGGTAGACTGTTAACTTGGCAAGTTTGTTTTGTTTAAACCTGGGCCTGTCATCCTTGATAATCAACAAATGGGAACCAGTGCATTGAGGCAGTTGCTGAGGAATCTTTGCCTAAATTCACAGTGGAATTACGCTGTCTTTTGGAAGCTCAAACACCAGAATCGAATGTAAGTTGTTTATCGGCCATTATTCAGTTGTAGTTGGGCTAGCAAAGTGCTTTAATCTTATTATTTCTTTCTTCTATCTTTAAAAAAAAAAAAATTAAATCACCTGCTTGTCCATCCTCTAACTCTAACCTACCAAGTGTTGCATTAGTGGAGTGGATGATCTTATGTTAATTTGCGCTGATTGAACTACTGATATTGAATGATAAACTTTAACAACATGATGATTCAGCTTTATAGTTTGTAGTATGTTTGTTTGCCTCCCTAATTTGCACGTTTACTATGAAAAAGGATAAAGTCGTTGCTTCAGAAGCTAAAACTAGATTCAAGTCACTGACATGTATGGCAATGGTAGTGGGAATAGCCACAACTGCAGCAACTGTTTAAGTCACAAAACGACAAACCATAACACCCTAATCTCCATTATTTGCACAAAGACCTTATTTGAGCTTCATCTTTTTTGTGATTTAAGGCTTTGCTGCCATTTCGTATTGCTGCTCTGATAATCTGGCATTCCTCAAGCATACTGGGACTATATCTCTAGCATAACATATTGCATTGAATAACAACCTCTATCTTTTCCTTTTTAAGAAAATTTTTTGATATTTAGAGTCTTGTATAGTAGTGGTAATGAGAGGGAGAGCTAATTAAATAAATGTCAATATGGAGTGTATGCAAAAGGTGTAGAGAGTATGGAATCATTGGATAAAGAAAAAGGAGAAAGACAAGTGACAGTCTGACAGGTTGGGTGAAGCATGTCTGTTGAGTTCCATGGATTTCATTCTCATTTTTCTTTTAATTTCTTTTCCTTGTTTAGGGTTTTGACCTGGGAGGATGGATATTATGATCATCCAAAACTGATAGAGCCAATTGAAAGTATTTCAGACAATGTTTGCTTCAAGGAGACAGATGGGATCAAATCTTTTGGATGCGAAACAAACACATCAAATGGAAATTCTGTAGGATCTCCAATAGAATTGGTTGTAGCAGATATGTCATGTCAACTGTACTTACTGGGAGAAGGGTAAGTTTGTGTTTGAAAATTAAAATTACATATGATTTTTCTTCTGCTCTCTAGTGCTAGTGAAATAAATCTTGTGCACTCATACAATTTAAGACTATTCTCCATCATGGCCATATTTTTTAGTTTTTCTAATTGATAAGATTGTATTTTTCCATGTAATAAAAAATGAATCACTTCACAGAAAAGCATTTTCTTTTAGGCTCTGTTTGCGAAGAGTGCAAATACAAATGCTGTCATTTTCATGAACCATGCATATTTGTATTTACACTCTTCTCAAATGGAGCCTTAAGAATAGTTAATGTTATAACATGTCTGCATGTGAAACACTTCTAATATTGCAAGATCGCTTTCATAACTTGAAACACCATAATAAATAGGTCATAAATTAGAATTTTCCAGGACATCATGCACATATATTGCAGTAAAATCCAAGGTTGTTGAAAATATGAAATGGGAATGGTATATGAAAATAAAGCAGCACGTCAAAATAATAATAACTCAAGATACAATCATGTATATGGCTTAGCCAAGGGGATGGCATTGGACAACAAACTGATATACAGTACAATAGCCTTTTTGGTCTTAGAAGTTTCCTGAGGATTACCACATAACTCTAGCACTCAGACTCAGACTGGATGCCTAGTTGTTCATATATAGTAGAATGTAACTGACCTTAACAGAAATGGCAAAATATTTTGAAAACCAAGTCATAATGCATACTTTCAACTCTTTTTAAGATTCTATGAGCAGTCTTGACTTGATTTCAGATGTTAGGGGATGTTATATTAACTGCATAATTAATTAGTATGCCAATCAAGCAGGATTGTTGGTAAAGTTGCATCTACGGCAAAGCATTGCTGGGTTTATGCCGGTATCGAATCTTATTTAGTTCCAGAGGTGAGTCTCTGAGGAGCATTAGTCAACTAGAAGTTTAGTTATTACTTCACTGCAAGTATTAGTCAGAGGCTTAACTGGTGCAGTTCCTTCCATATACAGTATCCGGATGAGTGGTCAATTCAGTTTGCAGCAGGAATCAAGGTAACTTCTTTCCTAGTAATGGTCAGATGGTAGCACCATATTTCCATCATTTGGCATCTTTCCAGAGAAATATTCATAATATATATGATATGGTTTGCAGACTATTTTACTTGTACCTGTTCTGCATGGTGTCGTGCAACTTGGTTCTTTGGAAATGGTGAGTTGCAGTTTACTTGATTCTTTCTCCTGTTATGCCAAATATGATATAGGCATCTAAATCTCTAAATCCCTTTACCTAGTTCACATTGAACAATTGTATTTTTCTCACTCCAAATATGTATGTATATATATATATATATAGTTTAGGTGATCCTTGTCATTCCTTCATTGGTTTCTTTTATGCTGGATTTGGAATCTCCATCCTTTTTCAGAAATCTAGTTTTATAAAACATGCCATTAGGATTTTATACCTTGCATCTTGTCTCCTTTATTTTCGTTTTGACATTATGATAATTTTTGCTTATTAAAAAATGGTATTGTTTTATGATCTATTTGATTTTCTGACTAATTTTTTGTGCATCTTTTCTCTCTGGTTGTAAATTGTAATTGCTTTATCTTATGTATGCCCTTCCTCCTGTCATGACCAGGTTGATGAAGATCTTATACTTGTTGCTCATATAAAAGATATGTTCAACACCCTTCAATATGTTGGAGGGACTTCTCTGCCTTTGATTTCAAACAAGGACCTCCTGGCTTTTCAATCGTCACCACTGACATCTCTTTTCTTGGACAAATTGGCTGATCCATTAGCTTTTCCAAGTAACATGCTGAAGCCAATCCAATCAGAAGCCTCAATGAAGCAGGACCCAATTGTTTGTAATAGTTTTCAGATAATAGAGAACAAACTGTCAACCACAAGTGACCAACTTATGCTACCATTTGTTCAAGATAACTTTGAGGTCCTTGGAAGGGATTTGCAGCCGACTCTTCAAAGCATAAAGGAGAATGAATTTGGTGCATTGTTGGTGGATCCTGCTGAAGTTTCATCAGTGCAAAATGAGTCTATTACTAACCATGTGGAAATGATGGAAAGTCTATTCAGCTTTCCTTGTATTGAGGGAGATTTGATGGCCTCTTATCAATGTGATGACCCTAACACAGGAGACCCTGAACTCAAAGTTGGTTTTTATTCTGTTGGAGATTTGATGGATCAAACAATCATAGATGAGGCTATTAATGGGACGAACCACATAAATATCAGTGGCTTCTTAAACTTTCCTGTAGACTATGAACTACAAGAAGCACTTAGACCAGCTTTTCAGAGAGGAAGCAATGAACATCTATGGGACTCATCTGTCTCAGTCCCAGATGCATGTGATAGATTGAGCCCAATTTGGAATAGAGAACTCACAGGAGGAATTGAGCAAGTAATTGCAGAATCCAATGCATGGTTTAAGAAAGGAGGTGATGCTGAACATCTCTTGGATGCTGTGGTCACCAACATATATGGTGCTTCAGATGATACTATATCTAACAGATCTAACAGTTTCACACTAACTACTTCCACAGGGCATTTCGCTGCTTCTTGCCAAACACAGAGTCAATCTGAAGGTAATATATTGGTAAGAGATGACTCAGTTCCATGGAATAACATGAGATCCTCATCCATGTCAGGAGGCAAAGAAGATGTTACTACTACTAGAACTGGGGCATCTTTGTTGGTTAGCATGGTGAGCACAGTGATTGATAGTGATCAAACAAAAAAGGAGGTTGGTTCTAGGAGGGGCTCGAAGTTGACCCGTGTCACTAAAAGAAGGTCCAGACCTGGTGAAAATCAGAGGCCAAGGCCAAGGGACAGACAGATGATTCAAGATCGTGTTAAGGAATTGCGAGAACTTGTCCCAAAGGGTGAAAAGGTGGCCACTCTTTTACCATGTCTCTCCCCTACTCCCTCCTTTTTCTTCTTTTTTTTTTTGTGGGTTAGAAGAACCAGTGCATGTCTTGTTGAAGTTGCAATACCATGAATTAGCTTCTTATTGATTATCTGTCCTTTATGTGATAACAGTGTAGCATTGATTCCCTATTAGACCAAACTGTTAAGCACATTCTCTTCTTACGAAGCGTTACTAGTCAATCTAACAAGTTGAGGCACTGCATGCGCCCAAAGGTATAAAATCCTTTGTCGTCTTCTTTTTATGATTTTTGTTTCCAATTAATGTAAATAATTCAATAAGCAGTTATAATCCTTTTTATGATTTTTGCCTCCAATTGCTTCTAATTCTTCTATAAATAGGTTTAATGCCTCTTGCTTCTCACGAATTTTGAGTCACCATTTTTTTTTTTTTTTGAGAAAAGGAAAAATTTGGAGATTATCCCAACAATACAGTGACTGTACACTGTCACAGAAATAACAGTAGTATGCTAATTACAGAAAAATAGAATCTAGCAAATCCATTCTTAATTCTTTCACACTATTCTATGTCAATGTTTCAAGGTGTTATGACATGGGGCAAGGTGCTGAATGTTTAGATACATCATGCAAAAACTTCAAAGAGTGAAGTTTAATTATGCCTAACAAGACCTGACCTTTTTCAAAGAAACATGAATTAGAATGCCTAAGTGTAGAAATATACATAAAAAAGGATTATATTTTTTATGTAGAAAAAAACATACAAATGGTTTCTTCATCACATAGTAAGGAAAAAAAAGAATAAGATGCAAAAAATGCTTTGGTTAAGACTCACCCTGTAGTTTATCTGCACAATGAAAATCACCTTTGTTTAGTTATCAATTTATTTGGATAGTTTATAGAAATTTCAGCATATGTTGTATGGAGTTCAGTGTTGAGCACAGTTAAAAAACAACACATCCAAGAATAATTCTGGCAAAAAATGAATGTTGAGATGGGTGAGAGGGAAAACTAGACAGGATATGGTCAGAAATTAACTTATTTGAAGGAACCTAGGAGTATCTCCGCTCCAATATGTGATAAAATGAGGGAAAGTAAACTAAGATGGCTTGGATGCAGAGAAGACCATCTACAGTACCAGTGAGAAAAGTGATCTATTATGAGTTGAAGGGTCTAGAAGAGTTGGGGCCATACCAAAATGGACATGGATTGTATTAACAAATGATTAAGGGCCCATAACTTAACAATGGATATGGCATTGAACAGAGCGAAATTGCAGAACAGGATTCGAGTAGCAGATCCCATGTAGTTGGGACAAGGAGTTGAGTTGCAACAAACTATAGCTCAGAATTGATGGGAGAAAGAAAATAAACATGTACAATCTATTACAGAACCTCGTAAGAGCTTTAAAAGTTGTAACTATTTCCCACATTTTTAAAATTTCATTAATCTAAATAATACTGAAGACATATATTGAAAGAACCCAATCTTGTAATGGGAACCTGGAACCTTACCAATTAACATATGAGATGCAGATCCTAAACATAAGGCACCTCAAGGTCTGATCATGTGAAGTATACACCGAGGGTGTAAACTTCAAGGCATTTTTCTTCAGCCCTGTCTCAAGGCATGCCAGACAATATAGAACGCATTTTTATATTTATAATGCTGGATAAATAATCATGCCGTTTATTTCACCAATTAGTGTAATTTGTGTTCAGTATCCATGTTAGATTCCAAAATGGGGCTGTACTTTCCCATCCCCTGATTTGCTGATCATCACATATTTGTGGATTGTGGATAAAACAAATTCCCATGTTTCTTTCCCAACAATCATAACAGCTAATAGAACTTAAAATGCTAATGTTCTACATATGTTATGAAAGGAATGAAGATATACGTCAGATTACTTGAAATATAGAACTTGTTAGTGAATAAAAGCAGGCACCTCAAAATCTTGGAATACCTAGATTTATTTTTGCAATTGGATTAAGCTAAATTTCATTCTGAAAATCTTCTGCAGCAGTGATTATACAAGTGACTTTGTGTATGTTCTTCTTTCTTTGTAATTTATAAATTATTGTCTTTTAAATCTGAAAGCAAGCAACAACCCATACAGGTCAGCGGTTGGAAGAACAGCAAACCATCAGGAACCCAAAATGGCACCAACTGGACTTTTCAAATGGGAAGCCAACTTGGAATCTGCCCTATAGTTGTGGAAGACCTGGACTACCCAGGACATTTGCTCATAGAGGTCTTTTCCATTAACTCAATTGTCAATACACCAAATATGTACTCCTTTTCTTTTTTTTTGAAAGGCAAATAAGTGGCATTAAATTACCTGTAGTTTGTGCTTACAATCCCAAAGCCAATTATGCTACGGGTAGAGTATTGTTCTCTGCTGAGATGCGTTGCACTTCACTTTTGTTGTCCATATTGCAGATGTTATGCGATGAACACGGACTCTTCTTGGAGATTGCTCAAGTTATCAGGCATCTAGAATTAACTATATTGAAGGGCGTGCTGGAGAACCGGTCAAACAAGACTTGGGCCCATTTTATTGTTGAGGTATCTGAGATGTACTTCCAACTTCTAGGTTGTAACTACGCAGAATTATTTTATTGTTCCCTTTTTAAACGGAATATAAGCTTCATAACCTTTAAGTTAAGGTAGACCAAACATAGAATATTCTGCTTGAGATGGCAAAATTATTTGTATCTTTTTAACATCTCCTCAATACGTGCTCTATTTTTTCATGGGAAAGAAAATTGGAATGATGCGTTTTTTTACTAATGCAGGCCTCAAGCGGCTTCCAGAGAATGGATGTCTTCTGGCCCCTGATGCAATTATTGCAACGAAACGCCAATCCGATTTCAAGCAAGTTCTGATGGTGTCTGTCTTCGACCCGTTATTCCCCGTTTTTTTTTTGGGTCTTTTGAAGGAGATTTACGTCGATCCCCACCGTGCTTTGTATCGCTGATTTTCATAGCGATCCATACCCATTAGAAAAGTTTAGACGAGAGAGAATCTAGTAATGGGCGTACTTGCTCTGTTTCTTAAGGCATTTAGGATTAGATACAAGGGACTCTATTATAAGTTTTGTATCAAAATAAAGATATACACAATACTTTATCTTACATTGTACATCTCGGAAGCGATTCCTTTCTCGCAACGGTGACAAAGATGGAAGTCATGGTCTTCTCGACCATGAAAGAATGATTACATGCACACTTATGCTAAATTAGTATTTACATGCATATAATATAGATACATATGCAGCCACATTTATCAAGAAAAGAAATTACTATCCTAACAAAACTGCATTGCTTCATTGCATGTAAGTGTGTCTCAAGTTGGTGATTCAGCTAGCACCAGTGTGTGCCACCAGCCACAAGCCACGTTCTTTGGAATGCAATCTAGGGGGACTTGAGAGGGAACATTGCGATCAATCACGTCGCCCAATCCAAGCTGTGTAGTTCAACCAGCAATTCATACAATTACAGAACCTTTTATGCCAAGCAAAATAAATATAGATTAATCAATCAAAATAGCTTTGTCTCATACCTGGCCATACTTGTTCCATCCCCAGCAAAATATCTTCCTATCCTCTTCAAGAACCAAAATCCAAACACAAGTCAGTTTAGGTTATCAGCAATTCAGCATTAACACCTCATAGCAACTTAGTATCTTCACCATTATAATTTTCAGGTCCTTCCCTCGCTTTCAAGGGAAGAGATGACTTCAGTAACCTAGCTTAACCAATAGAACCAATTTCATCTGTGCTAACAAACCTTGATTCCTAATCAAGTGCATCAGCATCTGGTTGCCATATGATTGGAAAAAGTAAACAATATTGGGAGTCTTATTTCTCTTTTAGTTTTATTATTTCTATTTTATTCATTGGTTATGGTGGTATGGGGTATTTCTGTCATTTTAGGCTTACGAGTCTATGCATGCATACACTTACAGATCAATCTATAATTTTTTTTCTCTTATTCTCTGTTCTTTACTTTCTTTTTCCTGATTCTGTTTTTTCTTTTTTAATTTATGGAGTTTCTTGAAGATCTTTCAATGATTATATTGTTCTTAAACAAAAAAGCAAAATGATATAAAGGCAAGAAAAAAAAAACTCTGATGATGATGAAGATGCTGATAAGAGTCCAACTATGGTACCAAAAAGGTATTGCACCTAAAAAACTGTTAACCAACCAGCTAGTGCCATCCAATTGGTATTCGTTCAAATTTCCATGTGTCTTCCTTGGGTATATCCTTCCTCTCAAAAGGGATAGCGGTGTTTTGATCCTATTGGTCATAAGTTACTTTGTCTCTATGGATGTTTCTTTCTTCGAGTTTGAACCATTCTACCATTCCTCTCCTTAGGGGGAGAGTAGTACAAGGGAGGAAAAACAAGTTCACCAAGTCTCTCTTCCCTCCATTCCGGATCCAGCTCCATTTCATGTCTTCCTGCATACACACCGTAGAGGCCAACAATGTTCTAAAGATGTAGAGTTACGGATACTGAGCAACCAACACCATCAAACTCCCATGAGGTAAGTCTAACTGGGCCAGGCACCCTTGTCCCTGTTGGATTCCCTTGTTCCCATTTCGGTTGTGGATGATCTTGACATCCCAATTACTCACAGAAAGGGAGTCCGATTGTGCACTACCAAACACCCTATTACCCACTGTATCTTATGACCATATTTACCCTTCCCGCCGAGCATTCTTATATGTTGTTGATAGTATTCCCATACCCAAAATGTGGTAGAGGCCCTGACTTATCCTAAATGGACAGATGCTATGAAGGAAGAGATTAATGCCCTCCATAAGAATCACACTTGGGAGTTGGTGGATCTTCCAAAAGGGAAAGACTTTGTGGGGTGTAAGTGGGTGTTTACAGTGAAACACAAGGCTGATGGAATAGTAGAAAGATACAAAGCAAGGCTGGTAGCAAAATGGTACACTCGGGTTTATGGTATTGACTATGATGAGACTTTTGCCCCTGTAGCGAAGATGAATTCAATCCGGGTTATGTTATCATTGGCTGCAAATCTTGATTGGGAATTGCATCAACTTGATGTAAAAAATGCCTTCTTGAATGGTGATATAGAGGATGAGGTTTATATGGTTCAGCCATCAGGCTTCTATGCCAAAGGAAGTGAGAATAAAGTGTGCAAGTTGAGAAAGTCCCTTTATGACCTAAAACAGTCTCCTAGAGCATGGTTCAGCAGGTTTCATATGGCAGTTCAACAAGTAGGATTCAAACAATGTCAGCCCGATCACACTCTCTTTGTTAAGAGGTGTCAAGAACAAATTGCAGTGTTAATAGTGTATGTGGATGATATCATTATCACAGGGAACTAGAACTCTAAAATACAAAGGTTGAAGGAGTTCTTGGCTTCTCAATTTTAGGTGAAAGATCTAGGTCATCTAAAGTACTTTCTTGGGATTGAGGTTGCCCTCTCAAAAAGGGGTATCTTCATCTCCCTGAGGAAGTACATCCTAGATCTGCTACAAGACACAGCCAAGCTAGGTGCAAAACCAATAGGCACCCCTATGGATATTAATCACAAATTGGGTGATTGTGATGGTGAACCTCTAAAAGATGTGAAACAATTTCAAAGACTAGTGGGAAGTTTACATTACTTGCCCATGGCACGCTCGGACATAGCTTATCCGATTGGTGTTCTAAGTCAGTTTATGCATTCCCCTAAGACACCACATATGGAGGCTACAGAAAGAATCCTTAGGTACCTAAATAAGTATCCAAAACTGGCTTGTTGTTCCATAAGCACAACCATCTAAAAGTGGAAGTCTATACAGAATTACAGATGCAGATTGGGTAGGTGCTATAGATGACAGAAAATCTACAAGTGGGTACTACACTTTTGTGGGAGGAAATCTAGTGACATGGAAGAGTAAAAAACAAAATGTGGTTGCAAGATCTAGCATTGAAGCTGAGTATAGGGCTATGGCACATGGGGTGGCTGAAGCACTTTGGTTGAAGAATTTGTTAGTAGAGCTTGGGTTTCCAATTAATAACCCCAATGTCTCTTTACTGTGATAATAAGGCAGCCATAAACATTGCTACTAGCCCTGTCCTACACGACAGGACAAAACACATTGAAGTGGACAAGCACTTAAGGATGAAATCTGCACCCCCATAATTTAACTCCATGGAGTAGTTGACTGATATTCTCACAAAGGGACTTCCATACTTGCGACATAATGAGCTATGTGACAAGTGGGGCATGATAGATATATTCACCCCAACTTGAGGGGGAGTGTTGTTAGAATGAGTTAGTTGTTTCTACTGTTATAGTAATTTATGCTGTCAGTCTTAGGGTGCTGTCAGCTTGTTTATTGTCTTTTATTATTGTTTTTTATTAGGGTGTGCCACCAGGGGCAAGGATGTAATTTTTCCTTCTTTTATTTTTATCTCAATAATATAAATAGAAAGCTGAGCGCTGCCAGCCTAATGTTTTGGCTCCCAAACAGCCGATTTCTCTTCTCTTCCTTCTTCCCTCTTCTTCTCCCTTTCTTCTCTTCTCCCTAGAAGAAAACAATATTCTTGAAAGGCTATAAGTTAAGATTAGGGAGAGTCTTTGTTGTGCTTAAAGGCCTATTTTTTCATTTTTGTTATCAAATTATTACATTATTTTTATATATACAAATTATTTATTCTTTTGATAAATTGTTATTATCTTGTCATGAACACCAAGTTTGTCAAGAAATCACTTTTCAGAATGGCCTCTTTATATCCATATAGTTTGTTGGTCACTTGGTCTAAGACATGAAGGAACTAGGTTGACTATCCTCAAAATACCCAGGATGGAGTCTTGTAATCTATCTAAAAAGAAAAGCAAGCAGTGGTGGACTGTAAAAGTAGCATTAATGCTGTAATTCAATTGGGGACATTTTTTCTTGCTCTTTTGGAATTCCAAGTATTCATTATATTGATTGCTCTATGTTACTATAGAAAAAGAAAATAAGTTTCTTCCTAGGTATTAGCAAATTATAATATCCACAATCATAATGTAGCCTCTCTGGACTATTCATGTTTGCACGAATAATTAAAGTTTCTGCAAAAATAGGATTTCAAGTGAATGGAATGTCATGATTTCCACACACACACACACATATGGCTGGTTTTAATTAGCCATGATTTCCACACACACACACATAAGAAAGATAAAAGAAAAGAAAAGAAAAAAATAGAACAGAACTGAATGATCACAATTTCCAAGAGGTCTGATGAATTCAACAAAACAGTATGTGCAATGCCAGACTAGTGTTTTGGAATTATCAAGTCCTATCTAATGACAATCTCAAGGTAAACAGGTGATAGTCAAGTATAAGGAACCCAATTAATTGAGACTACATCAAGAAAATAGTCTGCATATAAATAGCATACCTGTGATCACAGCACTGTGTCGAGCTCCACAAGAAACAATTTTTGCATTCCTGTTCTCCAAACTTGGGGCATCCAAGAGCTTAGGAAGAACCTGAAACAGATCCAGGAAATGCCAACTTTCATATGAAAAGCTTCCATTGAAAAAAGAGTCTTCTTAAAGAAGGTCAGTGATAACTTTGGCTTAAACTGCAAAGTCAATTCAAATTAAAACAGTAACACATRTAGCAAACATACAAGGAGATAGCTGCTACCAAAAGATCCCAACCCTTAAGTCTTATTTGATACACCAGACAACACAACCTAATCATAGACAATAAATATAACTTGATACACCATACATTTAGAACACCCAATTAGACTCAAACGGATACATGTTCATTATAATATTTAGATTAGGACAAGGAAGTTCCCGTACCACCATGCCAATGGTAGATGAATGGTATACAGTCTTTCCTATTGGAGTTGTACAATCAGTGAAAACCCTTAGAGACATCTTCAATTGGAAAAAGAAGATGCATCTTCAACTTGGACTTTTCCTCTTTCTTTCCTCTCATTTTTGACTACCCCAAAAGGGACAACCAACCAATTAATTGCTGGTTAAAAGTTACCCTTCCAGGCTAGACATCAAATAATCTTCAAGAAAGGTCTAAAAATTGGACACCGCAGCTGAAAAAACAGAAGCCCACACAGGTCCTCGTATGCATATGGATATGTGCTGACAGGAAATTTTTTTCTTTTTCTTTTTCCTTTTTTTTTCATTTTTGGCTTTCAACCATAAGTATCTAATTTACCATACCCTCCTTGATGATTATTCTGGAGATTAACCCAGAAGAATAACTTCAACCACCCAGTAATTGGTTACTTTATATGTAAAATGTGTTTTGTGTATGTGAGCGGGTTATACTCATAAAGGAACTACTGAATGCGAAATTGCGAATAAATGGCACCATTATTTTAGTTTCCTCTACATAGTTGTACAATATTAGACCAAGGGTAGACCATCTTACAGCTATCTAATGGAAACCATAGATATCTTGTGACTGTTTCTGTTGCTTTCCTTGGATTCAAGATAAAGCAAGTCACTATTCAGAGATAGATCCAAGAATGTACCTCAGCTTGATCAGCACCTGTTCCTAACTGTCCAAACTGGTTCCCTCCAAATGCATATACATCACCTCCAATGGAAATGCAAACTGTGTGCCACAATCCAGCAGCAACTCTCTCAATCTGGATGCCCAGAAGAGATGACACACAAGCTGGGCTCAATTCATCATCTGTACTTCCCTGCCCACACTGTATTAAGAAGAAAAATAAGAGAAAACATCTACTTATGTCTCACTGAAAAGATTTAACAAAGCAAGTAACAACCCAAAAGCTAGGGGACATTGCTTGGTATCCAGTCTACCCTCCCAGGAGCCCAGATAGCTCAGACCAATATTGGGCAATGGCCTTTATGTGACAACCTAAAAGCTTTGAAAGGTGCTAACAACAACAATTATACATCTGATAACAACTCTCATCTTTAATATCTAACTGTAGTTGTTTCCAACCTCTTTCTATACTATCTACATTTTTTTTGTGCTGAAGAACAGATAATACTTTGAAAAAAAAAAAAGCTCAAGAAAAACCCATGCAGTATAATTGCAAAAGGAAATTGAACAGAATTTTAGAGAAAGTGGATAGTCTGGATAAACAGAACCCATGCCTGTACATGAAAAATCTTTCAGAAGTAATTTATTATATATGATCAGCATCCTAAGTAATTTATTATTAGAACTTCGAATTTCAATAAGTTGAACCCCTCTAAGGAAAAATAAGGGGACAAAGGTGTAAGAATTGACCAGTTGCCTGGATCAGCTAGGATAATCGATAATTCATTTGCTAAAATGAAATCCGGTTTCATGAGAACACCATATCAGATTATCCAAATATAGAAGTCAGGAAGGCATATTGACAACTAATATATTAGTATTAGGTAAATGAACTACCTTTACTGTACCACACTAAACCATGTCAGATGCATTTTGCAAATCTTTATTTATTTATTTTAGAATTCAATACAACTGTACTAAGAAAGAAAGGAGAAGGATCTAATTTACAAGGCAAAACCACCTTCATAATTAGAAAAATGCTGCAATAACCCAGTTGGTAGGTCTTTTTATCTTTTGGCATAGTGGTGGTTTGGTAATTACACTACCACATGTAAAAACATTGGTGAGAATACATCTCTAATTCTATTCACGAGAGTAGGATCAGAAATTGTCTTGTAGTGGTGTTATGCTTTTGATAATAGTAATTCAATTAACTGTAATATTCCAAAATCAAAAACAGTCTCCATTTACCAATTTTCAATAATTGATTAAAACTTTATTAGAACATAACTTCTGTATAGATTTTCCTTTTACCTATTTTTATTTACAATGGAAGATACTTTTATGTTTTGAGTACAAAATATGAATTTCATGAACACATTAATGATAACCCGATGACATTATGCTTCATTTTATTTACTTAAAAGAAGAAAATATGGTCACGATAACATGTTGCTATTTAAAGCTAAATCTTTATCTGCAGAGTTTACTCACTGTGATGATGGCTGTTCTTTTTTTTTTTTCTTTGGTAAATAATGGTTGTTCAGTTTAAATGACAAAATTTCCATATGAAAGCATATTATACATCAAAATAGAAAGACATGGAAACAAGATTAATAAGATACATGGCGATTTAAATGGCTACCAAAAGACATGACAATCCAAGTTAAATTGGTTAGAAGAACTGCCAACAGCCTGGCAGATGGTTTAGCTAAGCAAGGGGTACAAAGAATTTCCTTGTATTGGGCTCAATTGTAATTCTTGGGTTAGGTCATCTGTTCTGAAGCTGTGTTTGTTTCTTTGTCCACAACCTCTTATTATAATTATTTTTTCTATTATTGATGAAATCATTTCTGCATTGCTGATAAAAAAAGATTAATAAGATGCATAGCCTTCTTCGTACGTATAAGCAAGCTACATGTATACAAAATCATACATGTAAGAGAGCCTTCTCTTGGCATTGGTAAGACAAAAATGGAACAAATTAAGGCAATAAAATCAGAAGACAAAGGGAAAAACTTTGGAAGACCTCAATATTGTGTATGAAAGATATGAAAACAAATCCTGTGGACTCTAACTGGCCAAATGAGGGACTACTTACTATTGCTACAATTGCAAACCAATGTCCAGAAAAAACAGAAGATTCTTAATATCTCTAAGATCCTGGTGGCTGTACAGGAGCCCATAGGAATGGGCTAGGGTCTAGAGAAATAGTTGAGTAATTTCAAACTGTAAAGCCTACAATTAAACTTCCTCTGGCCAGTTTTAGGCACATCCAAATGTCAAAGTTGCTATTAAGTTTGTAACAGATAGTGCCTTCTGTTTTTCTCCTCTTCCTCCTACATGTTAGTGCTTTAAAATTGATTAAATTAATGCTTCATTATCAAAAACAAGTGAGATATAGAATTGTCTACCAGCACAAGAAACAGTTGGTAGTTCCATTCAATCTCATTCAAAAATTCAATAAAAATAATGTTCTGTTTCAACATGCAGTTATTGGTAGTTCTTTTCATCAGCTACAATTTGGTCAATGCTGATTCAATTGGGAATATTTTTGAGAAGTTGGGGTAATTTGTCTAAAAGTTCAGGATGAAAACCTTTCTCTTCTAAACAATCAAGTTAGATTTGTTGATTTGAGATTGCTAGAAGCCTACAATACAATCAGAGATTTACTAGCTATATGTCTCTGTGTAGTTTCATTATTTTTCTTTGGATTTCTATGAACAAAGAGAATCTATAAATAAATTAGTTACAAAAAAAGAAAACAAGGATGAAGTTGGCAAAAGAAATGAGCTTGGGATGTTCTGAAAATTGTAATCATATTGTAAATCATAGAAAAAAGTTGAATTGAATCGAATTGTGAATAGCATCAGAAATCAAAAGATTTTTTTTAAATACTTGTCAAAAAATTAAATATAGATATGCAAAAGTAAAATATAATTATATATAGATTCATCAAAAAAAATATAATTATATATATATAGAAAAATAATTCTACCCTATTTTCAATCCATATCTACCATAAATGCACGTAAAATAATAGAATTTACCACTTATACAAGGAAGTCTAAGATAACATAATCAAGTTTGATAAGGCCTTTGCAACGAGTCACCAGTGGCAATACTAAATATAAATAAAACAAAATGACAAAGTAGATAACTAATTCTTAACTGAAGTGATTTGAATTGCAGGAATCATATAAATCATAAGATTTATGAATTAAATCGTAGGATTTAAACAAAAATCATCAGATTTTTGCAGAAAGGGATTCAGACACAAGATACAAATTGAAACCATTGGGATTCATGATTCAAATTATGAATTGTATCATAAATCATAAGATTTTGACAACAATGACTTGGATAAGTTAATGCTAGAAGGAGATTCACAAGTGGTAATTCGTCAGCTGATGCATTCTGACTGGGTCTTGTGGTGATACAGACAAGAGCTTGAAAAAATTAGATGGCTAACTAGGAAGATAGATATTACAGTTCAGTTGGTACAAAGCCTAGAAAATAGTTTGACTGATGCTTTAGCTAAACAAGGGTGGTTCTGGATCAACTGTTTTGGGCTCAACTGTAAAGTGTAATAGCATAAAAGGGAAAAGGTAGAAGATTCTAGCCTTTGTTGGCTATGTCAGAACTAGAGGGGAGGTTTTTGTTAGGGTCACAACACAGGAATGATTTATAGGATTGTCAGAAAACCCAATAGAGGTTTTTAGAATTTCCCCTGAAATAAATTTACATAGATTTAAAATAAAGAATTTATTAAATATATATTGTCCATGTATGCTTGTATACATGTTATTGAAAATTTAATTGGATTCAGATCTTAGTCGGATCAAATAGGATTAGATCAATGTTTCATTTGATTATTAAACAGATCTGGCTTTTGAAATCTGAATTCACTGAATTCAATCAATTAAGTAAATGGATCATCTGAATCAAAATTACTGGATCAGGTCTTGGACCATCTGGTTCCACTGATGGCCCTATGTCAACATCCAACATGTGCTAGAGACTCTGAACTTGGTGAGCTGGAAAAACGTGAACTTGGAGAGATATGGAACATAGGGACAGATATATGTTTTATGAATCTGAGAAGCCTCTCTGTAACAACGAGAGTTTCAGTGACTGCTCCAACATTTTACGCATACGAAATTTGGCTCCCTCTGGTGAGATGAACCAGAAGCTAGGGAGGTTTCAGAAGGGGAATTATGTGTTGGAAGATTGGAATCCAAGGTCTTGGAGTGGATTCAACCAGGAGAAGAATTCACAAAAGAAGATGACAATTCTGGAGAAGATGAAATCAAGATATTGGAAGAGTCAGAAACTGAAAAAAAGAAAAAGAAAAGAAAAGAAAGAAAGAGGGCAGAACCGCAGAAGGGAGAACGAACATGGAGAAGGGAGAGAGAGGGACAAAGTTCAAACAGGGCTTGGGATGGAAGGTGTTGGTCTTCAGGTCTTTACGGAAGAAGTAGAGACACTTGTGGAAGAGGCTGAGAAAAAGAGTGTCTGTCAAGAGTCAACAACTCTACATAAGGAAACAAAAATACAGAACCAGACCTTTGCAAGAGGATGTGGGATCAGGGGAAGAGAGTGGAGCAACGGATACAGAGGAGGAAGAAGTAGTCATAGATGAGACTCACGAAGTTGAGAAAACTGCGGATATAGAAAGGAAGGTCTCTAAAGATAGTTGGAGACATAGCGGAGGGGAATTTAGAGATGAACTGAGTGCTGATCAATTGTTTGAGAAGAAGGCAGCATTTGAGTTAGAAAGAATTAATGCTCAAAGGGAGGTCTCTACGAGGGTGGATAAATGCCGTAATGAAGTAAGAAGATTTAAAAGACAGAAAACCAATCAAAAAAGGCAAGCTTCAAATGTTTTTGCCAGGTTGAAGCTGGGAGTATTTGGAATGGGATTAATAAAGAAAGGGAGAAAGAGATAAAGAAAGTAACTCAGATGAGACAAGAGATTTCTATATTAGATAGCGGACACGATGAGAAAATGGATAAAGCTTGAGTTGCTTGAGTTGAGCATTTCATCAGCTGGTTACCTGGGTTCAGGGTTTTTCTTATGTGTTTTTTGGCATGATTTGGAGAGTCTTGGATATACAGTCTATTGTTTGTTTTAGTTGTTCTAGGGGTTGGTAGAAAGGACTTCTCTGATATTTGTTGTGATACTTCTAGCTGGATCTGGGT